CGGCAGTGTACCAACTTAAAATGCTACAAATTCTCAGCTATTCCCACCTTAACCTTACCCAGGATCCTTTACCTGCTCCAACAGCTGCCTCAGACCCAGCTTAGTGTAAGTGCGTCACTCTAAGCAAGATTGAACTTTAACCCAAATTTCAGTAATAGCCTCTGCTCCACAACCATCTCAGTGGACGCTCCAAAATTATTTAGGTAGTACTTTCTTAACACTGCTTCAAACCCAGCTCATCAGCTGTGCTTCAACCCCGATCCCAGCTGTAACCCTATGTCAGCAACCCCTGCCTGCCTAGCAGAAAGCAGCTGCCAGAGTCAACACTGAAGTCCCTGGCATAGCTGCAAATAAATCCATCTGAGTGGTCACTGAATCTTTAACCTTCACCTGCAGCCTCATTCTAGGTTTTCATGCCACTGACTTTTGGAAGGGAAGAGGATACTGAGCTAGTCCAGTAGTGAGTCCAGTTTTGCCTCTTACATCAAACTCTGACTCACCCTGCACTGACACCAACTCACAATTCTCTCTTAATTGGGAAAATCACTAGGATAGTACTCACTGCCAGAATTCTGGGTCATAAAGTCATTGTCTGACTCAGAAGAAGGTTTACAACAGCTGTGGCAGTGATACGTACTGTAGGTGAGTCATGTTGGACTATTAGTGCAAACGTAAGAACCTTAAAACACAAATACATAAAGAATTGCCCTGAGCCACCTAAATTATAATTGTTCATTCGTTATTCTATAGCAAAGGACTTGGCAATGTTTTATTGTGCACTCAGTTTTCAGGAATGAAACATTTAAAAAATAAAGTTAGTGAGACACTTCTCATCATATGAATCCCAAGCAGCTTTTTAAATTCAGAGGCTAAAATTTTAGCTGATATAAATTTTCTGGCAGGCATTAAATTTGTGGAGGCATACTGATTTAAAACAGCTCAGAATCAGATTCTAGATTCATGGGACAAAACCCCATGTTTATTGATTATGTAACTGCAAATGCAGCTATGTCTCAAGTGTAGCATGCAACGCTTCTAATAGGGTATAACAAAATCTGCCACCCAAATTCAGAATGGGAAAACACCCCTTTCAATTTAAATTGCAGGAGATGTCTGCAATGTAGATAGACAAATACTATTGGGCTTTCCAAACAAGGATTCCAATGAATAGAATCAAGAAAATATATAAAATATTAAGTAACTTGGAGGAACTACTGACCTTCAGTGAATTGATACTGAGGTAATTTCACTGACTTAGTAGGCCCCCATTACCTGAATATTGAATCTTTTGACTCTCCAGTAAGTTTGCTAATAAAACCAACACCACAAATCAAACCCAACGACATTCATGCCAAAGCACGGGAAGACCTCTGGTCTCCAGCCACAGCTTGTGAAGTATGTGTTTAACAAGTTACAACCTTTTTAGGGACAACTGCTCTGAGGAACAAAAGGATTACAAGGCTACCTCACAGTACCAAGCAACGACTGGAAAAACCAACTAGGCTTGGAGCAATCTTTGAGATCCTTTCCTTCTTCCTATTACTTCTGGACAAGCATCCTAGTTCAGGTTATTAGGTCGTGGGTTTTTGTCAGTATAAAACGGGTTGCGTTTGGTTGAGCAAAGTGGGTTCACAGATGAATAATCAGCCACATTGCCTACCTCAAGGGCCATGGTCATGACTCCGGTTTGAGAAGGCATCAACCTTCCACCTTCTGCCCTGAGTTTGTTCACCCAAATTTATCATTGACTCATAGAATGGTTAGAGTTGGAACGGACCTTAAAGATCATAGAGTTTCAACCCCCTACCATGGACAGAGACACCTCCCACTAGACCAGGTTGCTCAAAGCCCCATCCAAGCCTGGTCCTGAACACCTCCAGGGACGGGGCATCCACAGCTTCTCTGAGCAACCTGTCCCAGTGCCTCATAGCAAAAAACTTCTTCTTGAGCTGTCAAGAGGCGCGCTCTTCATCCACTTCAGCGTAAAATCAACCACACTAGCTAAGGCATTTGCACTAACCTACAGGGACACACGTGCTCTAGCCACGGTTCATATGAGGCGCCGGGAATTTGGGGGCTGAATGGTAGAAACAAACTCCTAAGGAAGGGTAGCTGCCTCTTGAAACGGCCTCTCTGAGAAGAGAGGCTGAGGGGGGGCCGCTGGCAGCGTGAGTCCCCCCGACTCAGGAAGCAGCAGCCCCCAAAGAGGCTGTGGGCTCGGCCGCCCCGCTGCAGAGCTGCCCGGGGCACGCCGTCCTACCCACCTGGGCCTACCGGCGGAGCTCCGCCGCCCCCCGGGGCCTCACTGCGGCGGCTCCCGGCTCTCCCGGGGGCTGGGGCCGGCTTCTCCCGGGGCGCTCCGCTCGCTGCCTGGCTGTTTCATTCATGCTTTCTCCATCGCCATCTCCCTCTCCGGCTGAGGGGAGACGGGAGCGCGCGTGGGCGGCCGCTGGAAGGCTCCCTGTCAGTCAAGCGGCCGCGCTAGAAAGCAGGCGAGCGAGGGGGAAGGAAGGGAGAGCGAGCAGCTTTCCCGCGGGAGGGGGCGGCTGTTGTCGCTGCCAGATTTACAGCCCTCCCCAGGGGCATCTCATGGTGGAGGGGGAAAGAAGGGAGCGGTTTTGCACCACAGCCCTTTCCCGTCTCGGGAGGAGGGGGGGGGGGGGGCGGCTCCTCTTCTTCCCGCTCGTCACCTGTCCCCCCCACCTCCGCCGCACACACCCACTCAGCGGCGGCTACTCTGTCTGGCGAGAGCGCCGAGCGGAGGGGGCTGCGCCTCCGGCGCTGTGGCCGTCTGCGTGTACGTGTCTGCTGGGGGCTTGCGGGGGTGGCGAG